GGACCCCTCAGAGGCCGTGAGCGCACACTTAGATGGAGGACCCCTCAGAGGCCGTGAGCGCACACTTAGATGGGGGACCCCTCAGAGGCCGTGAGCGCACATCACATGTTACTTTTCTCTTCAGAGAGCAGCACTTTCCCTCTGCACCCTGCATCTTCTACAAGTGACCCAACATTTCACCTTGAACTTCCTGATAGCTGGAAAAGGAAAGAGAAAGATCAAATTTATCCAAACAAAACTGGGTTTCTGTTCCCATGCCATAAAGACAGCCAATAACATTTTCATATTTTTTCTCGTGAATATGGGAAACATAAGTGCAGAATGGTATTAATATTGACCGTATCCTTCATATGACCCAAGAGGACAAACACTGTCTGCGTTGTTCTTTATGGAACAGACACCAAAACAAACAAGGGGTTTGCCCTGGAAATGTATTAAAGACAGCAAAATCACCTTAACAGTGTTTAATAAAATTCATATTTAATTAATATGTTGAAAATAATTTAGTATCTCCTAATAATCTTACAAGTTTGAAACAAGTAATTAAATAGTGAAAGAAGCATAAAGAAGCAGGGCAGATTTCACGTTCAGGGTAGATCAGGAACTCTGGAAACACTACCATCCGGTGGACTGGTCAGGTTCCTCCTGCCGCTGAGTTAGAGTCACGAGTCCACAGCACAGAGGAGGAGCCTGCCACATGTGCTGGCTTTTCCGCTGGACTCCAAATCACTGAGGTACCACATCTCTTCAGCCTTCACCCTCCCAGGCTCAGGAGAATGAAAAGCTGACACCATTTCATTGTTGATTTATCTGATTTTTACTCAAAATAATTTTCTTTGAAAAGCAGTAATGATCACTTTTTGAAACAAAAACTATGAATTAGCCCAAAGCATACTTTTTTTTTTCTTTTCTTTTCCCAAGACAGTGTCTCTCTGGGTAACTGTCCTGACTGGCCTCGAACTTACAGAGATTGGCCTACCCTTGCCTCCCAAGTGCTGGGACTAAAGGCATGTGCCACAGTTGCCTATATGATTCTCGAAGCATCTACTACCCCATCTGTGCATGGTCTTCAAAGGCGCATTATCTACAGAGGGTTCACTTCACTTTATACTTCAACCTCTAGGAATGTCAGTCTAAAGTTATGACAAATCTGCAAGCCTAGGGTTATTTTTAGGTCCCACATATGGATCCCCTGACATATTTACAGACCCCTGGTGACTTTTTCAAGGCAAGGATTTGCCATGTAGCCAAGGACTGGCCTGAAACTCACAACCCTTCTGCTCCAACCTGCTGAGTGCTGACGTCACACAGGCAGGCACCACCACACCCGGCCACGCCTTAAGTTCACTAACTCTTCACACCAGCTACTGAGAATCTTATGCTAGAGAATGCAGCTATAAATTATTCAATTAAGTACCAAAATAGTTCTTTTTATTATTGTTCGCTAATTCAAAATCTCATGACATCTTTAAAGCCAGCCAAATTGGAAAATGTTCCTGTTTTCACACAAAGGACCTTGAACCACATCCCCAAACTGCAGGGTAGTAGAGCCCAGATCCAAGCCCAGCTCCGGAGGCCCTTATACTAACAGCTGACCAGACTCTTCCACGACGTCCATGTCTTCCTTCCAGGTACAACTTCCGAGGATTTCGATGGTTGCAAGCCATGATATTTGCCATCGAGGAGATAAACAGCAGCCCCACCCTTCTTCCCAACATGACACTGGGATACAGGATATTTGACACCTGTAACACCGTCTCCAAGGCCTTGGAGGCCACCTTGAGTTTTGTTGCCCAGAACAAAATCGATTCCTTGAACCTGGATGAGTTCTGCAACTGCTCAGAGCACATCCCTTCCACTATTGCAGTGGTGGGAGCGACTGGCTCGGGCGTCTCCACGGCCGTGGCCAACCTACTTGGGCTCTTCTACATCCCACAGGTACTGAAGCCTTCCTCTAGAACTCATTTTTATTATTAAGTGTGTGTGTGTTTGTGTCTGTGTGCACTGACAGGAGTGCCAGTGCCTACCTTTGGTAATCAGAGGGGTCAGATCTCCTGGAGCTGGAGTTACAAGTGGTTGTGAGCCACCCAACATGGGCGTTGCGAATCGAACTCAGGTTCTCTCAAAGATCAGTTCAATCATTTAACCACTGAGCCATCTCTCCAGGCCAACTGGCATCTCCTTAGATGGGCACCAGAGGCAGGGAGGAGGAGGACCAGGTTTGGAGAGCTGCATGCTACCAGTGTCCTCTGTGGCTTGCCACGGGCACAAAGGTTGTTTTGGCCCTGTACTGTGAGCACTTGGGGTCTCTGAGACCTTGAGACTGTCACTGTTCTTCCTGTTCTCTTTCAAACATAACTTGCACATACACATCCTGATCTTTTTTCCTGTTATTTCCCAGTTCACTCCTTTAGTAACTGACATTCAATGTTTATCACAAGGAATAAGGTCCTATGATGTGAATACCACCATTCAAATCATAAGTATCTGCCCCTAATTCTGTCCCCTCAAATTTCTTCTTGCCTATCGTCACTAGCTCAGAGGTAAAGAAAGCAGGTCTCCCCATAAAGCAGAAGCATGATCACTGTCTCCACATTATGAAATGGAGCATGCTCTAATTTCTGCCAATAAATATTTACAAAGCGTACATAGACAAGCAGTCTCCATCCTGGGCGGGAGGAAAGTGCATCTTCACATACCAGTCACTCACCAAAGCAAGTATTGATAAGCATTGATTCAAAGCTGCATTCCTCCTCCATACCAAATGACAGCAAACTCTAAATACCTGATTGTCCCCTTTAGCACTATGACCCATCCAGCCAACTTTTCTTGCAATTAGTAACTATAGCTCTATTGCATCCCTTCATCATAGTGTGAATTGCAAGTAGAGGTTAAATGTCCATGGGTAGGGAAATTGCAACAGCTGGGTTGTAGTATAGCCGTCAATTGTAAATTAGAGATCAGACTTCAGTTTTTTCGGTGTTTAATATTTAAAATTTAATCTTCAAAATTCATACAAATAAATTCTCATTTCTCTTCTTGCAAGAGAGTCTGCTTCTTCCCTGACAGCCTCAATCCTTTTGCAGACATGTAACAACACAGACATTCTTGCCATTGTGTATGAAGCCCTTACTTTCAGGAAGTAAAGATGTGGCCCATAAGAAAGTCTGGGCTTTGTCATTTTTGTACCAAAATGTTCTGACCCGGTCTGTACTAGTCAGACTGGACATGCTTAAACTGGCAGACTATGCAGCACTATTTTCAATGCACCCTGACCATAAGCTGTCATCCAGTAGCCAAGTGCTAGGAGATGGAAATGGCATCAGATAAGAAAAGGAACAAACGAGAAGGGGAGAGCTTCACTTCTGCATGGCGAGAGTCAAAGACCAAGGGTGTGAATGATGAATGTGTTAAGACTGCAGCAGGCTGCGTGCCGTGATGCATACACACACACTGTGAGTTTGAGACCAGCCTGCTCTACGCAGTGAGTTCCAGCACTACCAACATAGTGCTACTCTGTCTTAAAAACAAACAAACAAACAAACAAAAAGCCTAAAGTGATTGTCAGTCAAACTAATAGGTTTATCTTCATCAGGAGTTCTTTGCTGCAGCTTCAAGTTGGAATCACTCGGGGAGCTCTAAAAGTCTCTCTGCCTGGGTCCCTCCTGCAGAGATCACGGTTTGATAGGCTAGGATACAGCCTATCCAGAGCATTGATCTTTCCCCAGTGGATTACAGAACAGAGCAAGGAAACACTGCTCTGTGGGTAGGGCCCCATGCCCAGCCCTGTTACACTCAGCCATGCCAAGTGACTGTAAAAATAAGACCAGCTGGAAGAAACTGTGGCCAGAAGTTTTTTGAATTATCTATGTAGTTTTCCCCTCTGTCAAGAAAAGTTTAATGTGGCTTAAAGGGCTTTTCTTTGAGTGACATTTACTTGATTTTATAGGTCGTCATTTGAAACCGGTCGAATATTATATTAAATATATTAAGAGACTATATCCATGAGAGGGAGTTTGAGCTTTAATTTGTATCCCTTTATGAACATTTTATTTCATTTTTTTTCAAAAGAAAATAAAGAAATGACCAATGATGGGCAAATGTTAGAAATGGTAAATTTTGTCTTTGTAAAACCCTGACTACCAAGTCAGTTTTTTGGATCCACGAAGCTTTCAAAAATTAATAATGTGGATATGACAGTGGTCTGACTGGGACATCTGTTACCCTGGTCGCCAGGGTTGATGTGGCTGATCCGGCTGCCTAAGCAGGTGTCCCCTTCCTCCCTCACCACACGTACGCTCCTCCTGACACTGTTCACATGGTCAAGGGGACCTTCCCTGAATAGAAGAGGACCACAGTCGAGGGTAGAGAGGAGCTCTGCTCCCTGCTAAGACCTCCAAACAGGCTCTAATAACATGTACGCAAGTCATTTCATCTAACCACCTAGACCCTGAGCTTCTGTGGGAGCAAGAGGGGATTATTCAGATTTCCAAAGTTTGTCAGTTTTGTATTACAGCTTCTACGATCAAAACCCTGCCAGAGAAGCTATGCTTGCCTTTGGCAAATTTGACTGAGTCTTTCCTCGGCCAGGGTCTTTGACACTTGTCATGTAAAGACTCTTAACTGATGAAAAGAAGCCTGTTGGAAATGTTGACTTTAAAACATTGTCCAAACAAAGCTAATTAGTAAGAAGTATACGAAAGGCATCCCTGCGGGTCTCTTCCGCCTGTTTTCTGAAGAAGCTCAAGCGAGTTTTAGCAAACTAGTGGACAAACACTGCTGAACGCTGCGTCACTTCCCAGAAGGATGCTGTTACGAGGAAATCTGCTCTGTTCTTCAGAAGATATGCTCTACTAACTTGGGACTCCCTAATTGGTGAGCTGTGATGACACCTGGGGTGCTACCAGGGGCCCAAGCAGAGGTGTTGATCCTCTGGAGCTTTCAGGACTCCAGTGGCGCCTGGGGAGAAGGGACCCTGGGTTAGCCAGCTCTGCCGCTGTCAATCTGTGCAAATAGTTTTTGTTTGTTTGTTTGTTTGTTGAGACCAGGTTTTTCTGTGTAGCCCTGGCTGTCTTGAAATTCACTCTGAGGTCTAGGCTGGCCTTGAACTCACAGAGATCTGCCTGCTTGTGCCCCCTGAGTGCTGGGATTAAGGTGTGTACCACCACCTAGCTCAAATCACAATATATTTTTTAAAAACATTGCAGATCTCTATACAACTTAGTGGTACCTGAGCTCTTTCCCAGGAGTCATCTCTGGACATCAAAGAATTTCTTCCTTGATGGACATTCATGAGCAAATGCAGAGCTGCCTCCAGTGCAGAGGGGGGCCTGTCAACAGCACACCTTCTCCAGACCTCCTTTAAACCTCTCCCAATGGCTTAGAGGTTCCGATCAGAGGTGAAGCGTGGAGGTTTAGTCCTCCCCTGAAGCTGAACAAGGGGCTTTGTATATGGTTGAAACACTGACAAGTCAGAAGAAAGGGTGTTTTTCTGGTGACATTTGGTGATGTTTGTTATTGCTATTGAAGTTCAGGGCAACTGAATTTACATGCTGAGCTTCAATGATTTAACTGAACCTAAAAGCTAAGCAGAATTTGCTGGAATTGGTGTTAGTTTTACCTAAGGAGCAGGGGCAACGAGGAGAGGAGCACAGGGAAACAGATGGGAAATGCAAAGAGGGAAAATGAACAGAGGAGGAGGAAGGACCTCTTTCGGGTCCTCTGAAGAGACTGAAGTTCATAACCAGAGGAAAACTGATTCTCCAAGAGGTGGGTTACATACAAAGCATTCACAGCAGTGGAGGCAGCTATAAAGTTCAGATCAGAACCTGGGCCCAACAGGCAAAGCATGCGTCAAGTGAACACATTGATCTAGTACAACCAACGAGAAGCTTTAGAGAAAGCTAGAAGGTACAGGGGGCGGGGCACAAGACTCCTTGAAGAGATTAGCACGTTCCACTGTAGAGGCGCGAAGGCTATTGCTAGACCCAGTTTCAAGGTAGCGTCATGAAGAATCACACCCTGGGAACTAGGAAGCTCCCCCAATAAGCTAACAGGGTTCGTGTCAGGGTGAAACTGTCTGAATTTTCACACACCTCCATCCTGCCCACATTAAACTTATTTGACAAGTGACATTAAGGTAAGCCTTGGAACTCGGCTGGACCCTTACTCACTCACTCACGTTTGACTTTTCCCAGGTGAGTTATGCCTCCTCCAGCAGGCTTCTTAGCAATAAGAATCAATACAAATCCTTCCTCCGCACCATCCCCAACGATGAGCACCAGGCCACCGCCATGGCCGACATCATCGAGTACTTCCGCTGGAACTGGGTGGGCACGATCGCAGCCGATGATGACTACGGACGGCCAGGCATTGAGAAGTTCCGGGAGGAAGCGGAGGAGAGGGACATCTGCATCGACTTCAGCGAGCTCATCTCCCAGTACTCGGATGAGAAGGAGATCCAGCAGGTGGTGGAAGTGATCCAGAACTCCACAGCCAAGGTCATCGTCGTTTTCTCCAGCGGCCCAGACCTAGAGCCCCTCATCAAGGAGATTGTGCGGCGCAACATCACAGGCAGGATCTGGCTGGCCAGCGAGGCCTGGGCCAGCTCCTCCTTGATTGCTATGCCTGAATACTTCCACGTGGTTGGGGGCACCATTGGGTTCGGTCTGAAGGCTGGGCAGATCCCAGGCTTCCGAGAATTCCTGCAGAAAGTCCATCCCAGGAAATCGGTCCACAACGGGTTTGCCAAAGAGTTTTGGGAAGAGACTTTTAATTGCCACCTGCAAGAAGGCGCCAAAGGGCCTTTGCCTGTGGACACCTTCCTAAGAAGTCACGAGGAAGGTGGCAGCAGGTTAAGCAATAGCTCCACTGCCTTCCGACCCCTCTGCACAGGTGATGAGAACATCAGCAGCGTGGAGACGCCTTACATGGATTATGAACATTTACGGATCTCCTACAACGTGTACTTAGCTGTCTACTCCATCGCCCATGCCCTGCAAGACATATACACCTGCTTGCCCGGACGAGGGCTGTTCACCAATGGGTCCTGTGCAGACATCAAGAAGGTTGAGGCCTGGCAGGTAAGTCTCTCACTCAGCTAGCAGTTCTGTGTGTGATAAGGCAGAATCAGACTGACCCAGGAAAGAAATATAATGACTATATTGTTCACTTTTGTGTCAGTGTGACTCAAGTACTTGAGAGACCAACTGGTTCATGGTTTCCAAGGGTTTAGTCTACAACACATTTGGTCTCATATCCTTGGGAAGGACATCACAGCCATCATAGTATGTGACATAAAAGATCTGTTCACTTCCTGACCAACCAGGAAGCAGAGACAAGGACCTTCTTCTTCCCCTCCTTCCATCCCCTCAGGCAGTGAGATGGTGCCAGCCTCAGAATGAGTCTCTCCTCAGGCAGCCCCCTCTGAAGGCGCCTCCATAGACACACTCATGGGTATGCCTTCATCTCCCAGGTGATTCTAAGTCAGCTAAGACAGGGGCGATTGCAACCAGAGTGATTACAAAACTTGCAATATCAAAATGAGCACCAAGTAGAACTTTGGATTCCTGAAACCTTTTCAAACGTCTGAGAAACTGACTTCTACCAAACTGCTGGTATTTGAAGAGCAGTTGTTAGAAAGCTACAGCTCAACTGATTACTAGTCCAGTGTCCAGACGCCCAAAGCACCGCTCCTACAAGTTCTCAAGTGTCTGGGAGCCAACTTAGTGTGGTTAAAGGTGTTTTCCCTTGTGAATAAGCAGTATTTGGTCAATACCTATTCTATCCCATACACTAACAAGTAGGAATCAGCACTGTGTTCAGACACTGCATTTGCTGTGACATCACTCAGCCTGTGCTGGACTGGCCAGTTCACCAGCTAAGCACAAGCTTGGGACACAAGTTTGTGGAAGGCACCGCAAACCTAAAAAGATAAATGTTTCAAAGGGAAACACTAGCCCAAACTACAGGAAAATCAGGGTATAAGTGGAGGTCTTACGGGCATTTTACAGGGTAGCCGCTTAGTTGTCTCGAAGTTCTGAATTACACATGGAGGTGACATCACAATGTTTGACAATCCACAAACTTCTGAAGGAAACAACCAGGCCCGGATTATATCCAACATGGCTGCTCCTATCTTACGTGTGAACTTTGGTTTTTCATTCAGACTCTGTTTTACACTCTTTGTATGTTTTTTCTCGGTTCCAGATTTTATCAGAGAGACTTCGTGAGAATGGAATGGGGTTATCCCCTGGCTCTGAATCAAATGATTCAACTTCAGCACCCCCTTGCTTTTTTAAAAAAAATTTTTCCAGCTTCTCTCTCTCTCTCTCTCTCTCTCTCTCTCTCTCTTCAGCTCCCCTTTCTAAGCTGTGATCTTAGGCAAGTCAGGTCTCTCTAAGCAACAGCTTCTTCCCCTGTAACATAGCCCTTATGTCTAATCTGCTCTCCACCCAAGTGTCATTTCAAGATGATACAAATATATGAAAATACAAATATAAAGATACAGAGATATGAAAGCGAGCTGTAAACTTGCAAGCTATAAACAGATGTGTGGCTATCATGGTCATAATTTGTATGTGTGAGTGTGTGGTGTATGTTCATGTGTGGGGGAGCACATGTGTCACATGCATGCAGAAGTCAGAGATCAATCGTTTGATGTCTTCTTTAATAGCTGTCCATCGAATATTTTGAGACAAGGTCTCAAACCTGGATCTCATTGATGGCCAATGAGTTTCTTGTCCCTGTTTCCTCCTCCTTCCCCCAAAGTGATGATTACAGAGACGTGTTATCATGGCTGCCCTTCTATGTAAGTGCTGGAAATCTGAGCCCAAGTCTTCACACTGGCAGGGCAAGTATTTTACTGGCTGAGCCATCCCCCCAGTCCTTATCATACTGGTATCTTAACATACTTATAATCAGTCAGTTGACAAAATATGGTAAGTTGAAGGGGTTTATATACAGATCCCAGCTAGCGTTCAGGGAAGATGCCAAGAAACAAAGAGTGTGTAGCCTATGCGTGTTAACGTAGAGACTCCCATGTGGTCCTAAGGAGTAACCGTCGTGCTCATAAAACAAGCCGGGACTCAAAGGTTCACAGCCTTCCTTGAATGAGAAGACCTCACTCAAACACCATTGCTACCCCAAAGTTCCTAATCTCTGTGAAATACCCAAGCCTCCTTCTTACTGAACTACTACCAAAGCAGACAGTTAAGCTACAATGGAGACTTCTGGAGTCATGTTTCAGCTGCAGATTTTTTGTTTGTTTTTCAAGTCAGGGTTTCTCTGTGTAGCCCTGGATATCCTGGAACTCACTCTGTAGACCAGGCTGACCTCGAACTCACAATGATCCACCTGCCTCTGCCTCCTGAATGCAGGGATTAAAGGTGTGTGTCACCACTGCCCGGCTCAGTTGCAGAATTTTAAGATGAATTAAAGGACAATCTCTTGGTGGTAAATATCATTGTCTTCCATCTCTTCGCATTTGTGTTCCATGAAAGGAACATGCTACAGGAGCAGGGTAGGGTTGAATAGAAAGACGTTTCCGGTGAGAAACATGGCTCTCCAGTGATCTCCTCCCAGATGAGGACGTAAGATGGAGGAAGGCAATGGCTCAAACATATTAGGAATGGAATAGAAAATGCAAACCAAACTGACCTGCACAAAGTAGGGAGAGGAAATTTTGTGGCTGTTCTTGCTGCAAAGCTTAGAAGTATTCCCAGCACAGGTAGTTCCATCCCCGTCTCTTTGTACCTCTCCTCGGTGTCATTGTGTGTAGCCGCTATGGTAGCTGTATGTTCATAAAGGTTAAGAAGGAGGGATGGGTGAGGAATGAAAGTGGGTCCTGAGCTCTGAGGATGAATGGCACCTGGCACTAGCCAACGCGGCTTCTCTTACAGTCTCCACTGAGCCCTGAAAGCCTCCAAACTCTAAGATCTTGGTCACGTCTCTCACTATAGATGTACCAGTAAGCAGTGACTGCCATCGGAAGATGTATGTAGAAACCTGCCACCTATCTAATCCGAGAGTCAGCTCGCAGCCCTGTGTCTGCCATCTCTCAACTCTTTGCTTCTAAGCCGTTTGCTTCGCACCACCCTTCAAAGAGCTCATTAATTTTTGGTGCAGAAATCTTGTTTCTCATTATCTTGTTTCTCATTAGCTGTGGGTGTGGCATCTTTGTCTTTCATCTCTTCATGTCTATGTTCCATAAAAGGAAGGCCCATGTCCCAGGAAAGGTACCCCAAGGAGCATCACTTTCCAAGGCACCATGAACTTTTCCTTTTTGTCAAAACTCATTTTCTCCTGAAAATCTCTTCAAGTCAGATTCCCATGAACGTCCATTCTGTTCATCTCTCGTCCTCACTTTTGCTGGCTTCCTGCCAAGCCTACGCTTCTTCAGTTGATGGAAAGTCCTACCTGTGAGTGGAGGATTTCTAGGCTCTTGTGTCTGGCTAACCTCTAGTGATTCTTAGAATGTTTGTAGATAGGTGTTTCCCATTCAGGCTCACAATGCATACATCTTGACTCTAGAGTCCTTTGTGGAAATACCCGTGAAGGCCACAAGATGGAAATATCATCACACAAGAAAGTGGCATTCTCAGAACTTGCATGCATTTGCCCTTCTTGGAGATAGATACACATGTCCTTCTCAGAGATACAGTGAACGCACTGTGGTTCCATTGTGCCTGTATTTCTCTCCCCTGATTTACTCATTCTTTTTCTTCCCATCACTCCACAAAGAAAATAAAAAAAAAAATCAACACATTGTGCTGATGTATGAACTCAAGAAGAATCTTTTTTTTTTTCGGTAGAAATATCATTCCCTTTTTAGATTCTGAAAACAGAAGAATGCTTTTTCTGAGAGAAAAATACTTTTTTATTTTAGTTGCTTCTTATTGACATGTATTTATGTACACAGTGATGAGCTTCACAGACTCTTTAATTCAAGTTGTCATGTGCTTTAACCATGTTCACTCTCCCAGACGTTCCCCATCTTTCCCCCAGACAATCTCACCTCTGTAGATGAGATTTGTGTATCTGTATAAATCTAGGATCCAAATAAGAGAATTATCAAGACGTGATGTTTGTCTTTCCAAGTCTGGCTTATTTTGCTTAATCGGATCATCTTTGTTTCTATCTATTTTCAGCTAATGATATAATTTCATTCTCATTTGTGACTGATGAAAGCTCCATGGCATATGTATATGTGTGTATGTATGTATGCATGCACACACGCATATATTTATTCATCTGCTGACAGACACCTAGTGACCTGGTTATATGAGTAGTCCTGAAATGCGCACATATCTGTGGCATGCTGACCTGGACTCTGGATCCATACCCAGGGTCATATGGTAGTTCCACTTTTAGCTTTTTGGGGAAACTCCATTCAGGCAGTCATAGTGGCTAGTCTAATTTACATTCTTGCCAGCACTGTACAAAAGTTCCCTTTTCCTGACATCCTCACTAGCTATAACTCAGTGGAAGAGACCTTACCTAGAAGTCACGAGGTTTTGGCTTCAAATCCCATTGCCATTTTAAAAAAATACATGTTTGTGCGTGTGTGTGTGTATGCCAGGAATAATCAATCTAAAGTCTCTCATTGCTATTAAGTATAAAGTAATTTTTCACCTCTATGTTCCCCATTATAGGACTTAAAGGCAAATAATGCAGAATATAACGTGCTCAAATATAAAACTTATAAGCTAGCATGCCAAAAGAACTAGTAAAGATATTTAAAAAGATAAATTAAGGGCTGGAGAGATGGCCAAGTGCCTAAGAGCCCTGATTGTTCTTCCAAGCAACCTGGGTTCAATTCCCAACACTCACATGGTAGCTCACAAGTATCTCTAATTCAAGTTGTAGGGGATTCAATGACCTCACCTTGCCTCGACACATGGAACACAGACATGACCATGCATTCAGAGAAAACACTCATACACATAAAACAAATTAATAATTTATTTAAAAGTGAGAAATGGAGCTTAGGAGGCTGTAGAGATGGCCCGGCAATTTACCAGTGCCAGCTGCTTGCTCTTCCGGAGGACTCAGGTTCAGTCCTAGCACCCACACGGAAACTCCA